AAGACGTACTCTGATTGTAGAAAATGGAGGCAGACAAAACGACATAAAAGAAGGTGTACAGAAAGACGTGCTCCGGTTGTAGAAAATGGAGGCAAACAAAACGACATAAAAGAAGGTGTACAGAAAGACGTGCTCCGGTTGTAGAAAATGGAGGCAGACAAAACGACATAAAAGAAGGTGTACAGAAAGACGTGCTCCGGTTGTAGAAAATGGAGGCAGACAAAACGACATAAAAGAAGGTGTACAGAAAGACATGCTCCGGTTGTAGAAAATGGAGGCAGACAAAACGACATAAAGGAAGAGAAAGTTTAAGTATTTTCTAAACATTATAATGATATTACCACAACTGTATATCACCTGGATGGATAAATCAATGAGTGTTAGTTATTCACGTATTTATGAAACAAACTGTATGTCTATATATAAAACTACCAACAGGGACAGAGACCAGATACGCTATTGTGTAGCTTTGCACTAAGAAAACAACAACAACATGGATGTGAAGAGAGTATCAATGTGTAACAAGGCTTATTACAAGAGTGTATCGGTTTATAATTAAGGTGATCGGACGAGCAGTCACGAGGGATTACAATAACGTATCGGTTTATAATTAATGTGATCACACGAACAGTCACGAGGGATTACAAGAGTGAATCGGTTTATAATTAAGGTGATCAGACGAGCAGTCACGAGGGATTACAAAAGTGTATCGGTTTATAATTAATGTGATCACACCATCAGTCACGAGGGATTACAAGAGTGTATCGGTTTATAATTAAGGTGATCACACCATCAGTCACGAGGGATTACAATAACGTATCGGTTTATAATTAAGGTGATCACACCATCAGTCACGAGGGATTACAAGAGTGTATCGGTTTATAATTAAGGTGATCACACCATCAATTATAAACCGATACACTCTTGTAATCCCTCGTGACGAAGGTGATCAGACGAGCAGTCACGAGGGATTACAAGAGTATATCGGTTTATAATTAAGGTGATCAGACAAGCAGTCACAAGGGATTATAATAGTATATCGGTTTATAGTGAAGGTGATCAGACAAGCAGTCACAAGGGATTATAATAGTATATCGGTTTACAGTGAAGGTGATCACACCATCCGTCACGAGGGATTACAAGAGTATATCAGTTTATAATTAATGTGATCACACCATCAGTCACGAGGGATTACAAGAGTGTATCACAAAGAAACATCCAAGTATAACGATGCTGATTCCACAATTAGCCAATCACAAAGAAACATCCAAGTATAAAGATGCTGACTCCACAATTAGCCAATCACAAAGAAACATCCAAGTAAAACGATGCTGACTCCACAATTAGCCAATCACAAAGAAACATCCAAGGTATAACGATGCTGATTCCACAATTAGCCAATCACGAGAAAGGTGGATCTAATGTATTTAAACCTAATAATCGCCTTACTTTAGGCTTAGTAAGCACCAAACAGATCACATTATATAGTTAAACCTAATAATCGCCTTACTGTAGGCTTAGTAAGCGTCAAACAGATCACATTATAAATACGAACGTGCGATTCAGAGATTAACAATGAAACTCTCATTTCTATAAGATGTCCTAAAGCTGGTAGAACATCCATGAACGCTCTCAGACTTCCCCGTCCAGCTATGAACATAGTTAATAAGAGAACTAAAAGAAAGTCGACATTATCTTAACATTATTTATTTCTGTAGATAATCCGAGTTCTAATATAAAACTATTTCTAGTAAACGTATAATACCAGGTTATCTTTACATTTATTGTTTGTTTGTTTTGAATTTCGCTCAAAGCTACACGAGGGCTATTTGCGCTAGC